CTGTCTTGTCTGCCTGCCTGCCTGCCTGCCTGCCTGCCTGCCTGCCTGCCTGCCTGCCTGCCTGCCTGGCTGGCTGGCTGGCTGTCTGTCTGTCTGTCTGTCTGTCTGTCTCTCTGTTGACCAGAGTCAAAGCCCGCAATGACGTTTCCTGCTGGGAACAGTTTAGCAGGTCGGTTCCAAGTGTCAGAGGGTCGGTTCAAACCGACTACATGTCTCGTAAGCACAAGAAACCCTCTCTATATGTCCAACAACTGATTCTGCTCATCCTTCATGCTTGAGATATTTGGTATTGAGATATATGGAGGCACCACTCTGCCTGAGCAGCGCTTTCTTGCGAAAAACACATCGATGTATCCCAATAAAAAGCAATGAACCGCCGAACAGCCACCTTCACCTTCAAGTTCCTGCTCCAGGCTAAGTCCCGAGCAAGCCATATCCACCACAGCGGCACGAGAAGGCTAACCTTGGCCCGGGAGCCCTTCGACAGATCCCAACGCTTTCAGAGGCACGAGGCCCAAGTTCCAAGACAAGATCCTCTACATATGGCTTGTAAATGCTGTCCCGATATCCGACATTTTTCCTATCTAAATGGCTTTAATTGTGCGGTCTTTATATCGAGACTTTGCGTCAAGGCTTGGAGCTCTGACTCCAGCCCTGGCGGCTCCAGGGGCCCAGGTAATGGAAAACCACAGATCTTGCTCTTTGGTCCCCATCGCGATGTAAACCCTACAGTCTTACAGTTTTCCTACCCATCTACTACCGTCGGTCTGGGCCGAGCTGAGTGAAAGCCCAGGAGCGCCACCCAGCATGCCGGCCCATTTCAACATCGACAGCGTGGGCAAGGCATTGGGGCATTGAATGTCGGGATCGAAGGCAGCGTACCTGGGAAGCTTTGTTTCGTTTTGATCCCCCAGCAACTCCCAAGCCTCCCAGAGTTGTACCCTGAATTTCCTGAACTCTGATGTCAGCCAGGTGGCGCTTTGCCCTCTGCAATGGACACACAGGGAAGACAGGACGCACTTGCAGCTGCTAAGACAGGGGCGAATTGGTTCGACCTTGCGCTGGCTTCGAGAGTGTGGAGGACAGGGCTACCCCAAACCCTGCACACTATATCTCATGCCAAGACAAGCCCAAGTCTGGTAAGTCGGGGAAGTTGCGGCATGCTGTGGGCCAATGCAGCTGAGGTTCCATACGAGCGCGAATCTCAGGATTCGGTGGCGCAGAGGGCGCGCGTCTTGTGCGCAACAATCCCCCGCAACGGCAAAGAAAAACACGCTCGCCACCCCCAAAGCGGGGACGATGAGCTGCCATTGGACTTGGTCCTTTAGCCTGACTTCTCGGCCAAGAATGCAGTCAACGCTTTGCGTTGAGAGTGGGGAGTCTTCAACAGCTCTTTCCAAGAGACTGCCGAAGGACGACAAGCCGGGGATCGACCCCTCAGCTTCCCTGAACCTGGAGCTGACAGGCAGAGCTCCAATAGCCAACTGAGCCGACGTGAAGAAGGACAGTGCCATCTTGATGAGCACCGCGCCTTCCCTGTCTTTACTGGCAGCTTGCTGATCGGACTGGCTTGCCTGGCGGAAGCTATACCACAACAGCCCCAGCGGAAGCAGCAACACCCGCAGGACGCTCGAGAGTCCCGAGAACCAGAGCTGGCTATCTGGGCATTTGGAACAAATCAAAGGGTCCGCGCTGCTTCTCCCATACTGGGCGGCGCAACGGCGACAGCCCGGGTCGTTGTGTTTGTACCCCGTGGCGCACATTTTTTCCGTGCGAATGACCTGGCCCCTCATGGTCACATCCAGAATTCTTTCCCCAGGACAGGCGAATGGATTCGGGCATCGGTACAGGGTGGGCAGTATTATGTCGGACGTGACTATGGCCATACCGGTTTCTGGCGCTTTGTCGGACCTGTTCGTGGCCATAATGCCCTCTGGCACGGCCAGCGAGGCGCCTCCGAAACACTCCAGCAAGGGTCCCCCGACATCAGCCCCCAGCCTGCTACACATCTCACAGTGCGCCACGATTGAAGGATGCTCCGTCTTTTGGGGCACCCTGCGGGGCTGCATTGAGCCAAGCGTGCCAGCAGGGCAGGCTCTGCACGTGTTAAAATTCACATCAAAAGGTTCGATTAGCCAATCTCGAGTGAACGTAGCAGCAGGGATGGTGCCAGCGGGACAGCTTCGCTCCCGCTCCCGTACTTGGATTTCGATCTTGGCAGCAGGGTTTCCGGCTACGAAGGTCGAAATTGGGGTATCCAAGTCACCGGAGACCTTGGCACCTCTGCTGGCCAGGATACTTTTCGGCTCACCATCAACGCGAAAGCGGCCACGGCTTGCGATGCGTACATGGCCTGATGAACAGCAGCCACCCCTAGACCCCCTGGCACAACTCTGATGACAAGTTCTGCAACAGGGCCCACTAATGCATAGCTACCCAGCACCATAATGATGCAAACGCCCCCTCCTGCTGAGATGTTGGAACTTGTGAACTAGTTACTAAGCCTCCGACAGCACTGCTGCTGGACACTGATTGGTGCCTACACAGTCAGCCGAAAGCTGAATGTCCCCAGGAGCACTTTCCGGGCCCACCAAGCACACTAACCAACCACTGAGCCCTCCCGGCCCCCACACCCCAACAGCCTGCACTATAAGCGGCACTGACACAATCAAGACCAGAAGGTCAGCCCTAAACTCCATCTCTGTCGGCACAACACCCATGACATTGACATGAACCCAACCCCACGTCCCGACAGCAGCCTTCAACATAGAAGCCGCCGCCGTTGTTTTTGGCTGTGTTGTTCTCGAAAATCATCGTGGCATTGCCCTCCACGTTCACATCTGGCCGAAGGCAGGGTGGCTGCAGCAAGCTGCGCGCCTCGAGCGCGCACCAGCAGGAACGAACACCTCACTGAACTCCAACAATGCCTTTGGGGGCATTCCAATGGCTGGGACCCCGAACCCATCGGCCCGGCAAAGGTTTCGATCAAGCCTCAAGAATTTTCTGCAGCCTTTTTGGCCATCACAAACCCAAAACATCCCAAAGGCAAACTTGGCAGGTTGAGATGACGATTCCACTGCATGCAGGAGGAAAGCTGAGGAAACCCCCAAGCCAAACATGCCCAACTGCAGGGACTCCGCGGTGTGGAAGGGCCTA